CTTCTTCTCGGCATTCCGACGGCTCAAGACGGCCCAAGAGGCCCCCAAGATCGCCCAAGAGGCCCCCAAGAGGGCCCCATGACGGCCCAAGTGGCCTCCAAAATGGCCCCAAGAGGGCCCCAAGACGGCCCAAGAGGCCTCCAACACGCCCAAGATGGCCTCCAAGACGCCCAAGATGGCCTCCAAGACGGCCCCGAAGCGCCCCAAGAGGGTTCCCCGTTGGCCCAGAAAGGCCCCCAAGACGGCTCCCGACGGCGTCAGACGTGCCAGGAACCCACCAAGATGGCCGAAGTTGGCTCGAAGCTGGCCCAAAAGGGCCCAAGAGGCCCCCAAGAGGGCCTCCAGGAAGGCCAGAAGAGGCCAAAAACATTGATTTTCCTAGGTTTTTGACGGATTTTGACATTTCCTTCTTTTCGGCCTTCCGACGGCCCGAGACGGCCCAAGAGCCCCCAAAGATCGCCGAAAGATCGCCCAAGAGGCCTCCAAGACGGCCAAGATGACCTTCAAGATGCCCACGTGTTCCCCGAAGGCTTTCCAAACCGATTCGGGGAACACATGGTCCGATGGCTTGGCAGGTCTGGCCTCAACGTTCGGCCACATAGGCGCTTCCGCAAAGGCAGGGGGCGGCGGTGATTCGCCGTAGGCGTCTTCGATCCGCCGCCCCCTGTCGATTCATCGCAGGGGTGCCTGGCGTGCTGGACGATTTCGGTTTTGGTTTTGGTGCTTTTTCCAAAAGAACTCTCCCAATACGCTTCGGCCAGTCCCGCCGGGGTCCCGGGAGGCCCTTTCAATTGAACAAAGTCCCGAACATGATCGACCCACGAACCCGGAAAGGAATATAGAAATGTAAGGCATGGCAACGTTTCAATGACTCTGCTGAATGTATCGATCTTGATGTACTGTGCCGAGGGCTGTGCTGTGCTGGGCCGTGCTGAACTGCGATGTGCCATGTCGCGACTGTGCTATAAATATATATATATATAGCGGTGTGGATCGAGTCCTTCCTGGCATCCGAGTCCTGACCGAACTGATCTGGATTTTAAGCTCGAGCTGCCTGAGCAGATGGTAGCTGCCCCAGAACTAATCGACAGAGGAAACATGCCAGGAGGACGCGCCGCTCAACGTCCCAAGGGACGCGCCAGGCGACGTGCCAGGGGACGTGCCCTGGGCCCGCACCGCGGGACGAAGGGGACGCGCTATGGAACGTACCAATGGACGTGCACCGCGCGACGTGCCAGGGAGACTCGCCACGAGACGCTCCGCGGAACGTGCCAGGCAACATGCCAAACTGCAATGCTAAAGGTATCGATATTGATGTACCGTCCCGAGGGCTGTGCTGTGCCTGGGCGACCTGGACACGTGAAAACACGCGTTTCGCTCAACACGCTCTCAGCACATCCTCATGCTAGACATCCGCCTGGGCAACCTGGACACGTCCAAAACAAGCGTCTCGATCGAGACTTCCTCGACACATCCTCATGCTAGACATCCGCCTGGGCGACCTGGACAAGTAAAAACAAGCCTCTGGTTCGAGACATCCTCAACAAATCCTCATGCTAGATATCTGTCTGGGCAACCTGGAGGCGTGACACCAAGCGTCTTGCTCGAGACATCCTCAAGACCAGGGCACAGGAAAACAAGCATTTCACGTGAGAGATCCCTGAATTCTGGTCCCCATGAGAGAACAATCTATAACACAAAACCAGCGTTTCGCTCGAGACATCCTCAATAAATTATGAAAGAAAACATGCGTTTTGCTCGAGACATCCTCAAACTTTAATTCGCTGGCCCTACGCGACCTCGTCATTTATCGCAAAAGAAATTCGCCGGCCCTACAGCCGTCAGATCCGGGGGCAAACCCCTAAAAGAGAACCCTGGGCCTATGCCCTTTATGGAAAAGGAGGTCCTCCAGGAGGCCCCGAAGAGGCCGAAATCATTGATTTTCCGAAGGTGTTTGAAGGATTTTGGAATTTGCTTCTTCTCGGCATTCCGACGGCCCAAGACGGCCCAAGAGGCCCCCAAGATCGCCCAAGAGGCCCCCAAGAGGGCCCAATGACGGCCCAAGTGGCCTCCAAAATGGCCCCAAGAGGGCCCCAAGACGGCCCAAGAGGCCTCCAACACGCCCAAGATGGCCTCCAAGACGCCCAAGATGGCCTCCAAGACGGCCCCGAAGCGCCCCAAGAGGGCCCCCCGTTGGCCCAGAAAGGCCCCCAAGACGGCTCCCGACGGCGTCAGACATGCCAGGAACCCACCAAGATGGCCGAAGTTGGCTCGATGCTGGCCCAAAAGGGCCCAAGAGGCCCCCAAGTGGGCCTCCAGGCAGGCCAGAAGAGGCCAAAAACAGAGATATTCCTGAGGTTTTTGACGGATTTTGACATTTCCTTCTTTTCGGCCTTCCGACGGCCCCAGACGGCCCAAGAGCCCCCAAAGATCGCCGAAAGATCGCCCAAGAGGCCTCCAAGACGGCCAAGTTGACCTTCAAGATGCCCACGTGTTCCCCGAAGGCTTTCCAAACCGATTCGGGGAACACATGGTCCGATGGCTTGGCAGGTCTGGCCTCAACGTTCGGCCACATAGGCGCTTCCACAAAGGCAGGGGGCGGCGGTGATTCGCCGCAGGCATCTTCGATAACGCCGACGTTTCAACATGCGCTGGTGACCCCTATCCGCCCCCGCATGCTGTTCCCAGATGCGCAAGGCAGCGCCGAGACGCACCGACGCGACTCTGTTATATCCCATTATGTTAGAGAGGGGGCTGGCGGCAGGGGGCGAAACCCTCACGGACTATCATCAGCAACATCATCATCATCATCATCATCATCATCATCATCATCATCATCATCATCATCATCATCATCAGCATCATCATCATCATCATCATCATCATCATCATCATCATCATCGTCATCATCATCATCATCATCATCATCATCATCATCATCATCATCATCATCATCATCATCATCAGCATCATCATCATCATCATCATCATCATCATCATCATCATCATCGGTATCAGCATCAGTATTACCATCACAATCAGCATCGTTATCATCATGAGCATCATCAGATTCATCCTCATTGTTAGCATCATCATCAGCATAATCATCATCAGCATCAGCATCAGCATCATCAGCATAATCAGCATCAGCATCAGCAGCATCATCATCATCAGCACCATCAGCATCATCATCATCATCACCATCATCATCATCATCATCATCACCATCATCATCGTCATCAGCATCATCATCATCATCATCACAATCTGAATCATCGTCGTCCGCAATTCCTGTTCCTTCTGAGTAGCTCCTCCCTGTCGCACCCCAACGCTGGTCCGCTTTCAAAATGTGGCCATCGCTTTAGCGCCGTGCACACTCGCATTGAAAATTTGCACGAGCTTTACGGATGGAGGGCGGTCCGTTTTCAAAATGTGGTGTTTGCCTTAGCGCCGCGCATATCCATTTTAAAAGTTAGCAAACTGTTTAACGGATGGAGGGCGGCTCCTTTTCAAAATGTGGCTCTCGCCTTAGCGCCGCGCACGTTCCTCTTAAGAGTGTACCAGCAGTTCAATGATTCTCATGGTTAGCGTCCCAGAAATGATGCTTGGGCACGATGTCGGGATGTCAAGGCTCAATAATAACGTGGATTCGCGGTGTTGAAGTCCCAAGAATGATGTTCGGGCACGGTTTCGGATCGTCAGGACGCAACAGTAACGGTGACTCGCGGATTTGAAATCTCAGGGATGGCGTTCTGGCACAATTCCAAATGTTCAGACTGTTGCCTTTCAACAAAGCGTTTCCCTCAGTGAAGATGAACCCGTGTAGGAGCCTATGAAGAGGGTGCGTGGAGGGAAGGTTTATTGCAATTTCGTTGGCGAGCCTTGGGTTTACACTGGTCCTCATCCTCATCTTCATCCTCATCTTTCTTCTCCACCCTCTCCTCCTTTCTCTTCCTCCCCACAGTGTTCCCCCAAGGGGTTCCGTAACGGCTGGGTAAGCACAGAGTCCAATAGATTGGCCAGACTTGAGGCCCAACGGTTGGCAGCATGGGCGTTTCCAAAAGGCAGGGGGCGGCGGTGATTCGCCGTAGGCCGTAGGCGTCGTCGAAACGACCTTGCCTCGCGGCAGGGTATGAAGGTCGTGTGCAATGCGAGGCTGCGGTGCCGACCAAAGGGCAGCGGCGCGAGCCTCGAAAAGTCAGGATGGGGCCTGTGCAATGGGAAAAAAAACTGCATGTTATGCGCGATCCCCGGGGAGCATAGGGCGGCCCGTCTGAGGCGCACTAGCGACACATTAGCGCCGCAGTCGCGGTTTCTCCGATGTTGAGTTGTATGAGCCCCGCACAGGGCTGCTCAACAACGAGCGGGTGCGCCGCCAGATCTGAAATCCGCCAACCCCCCATGGCCTCCTGGATCCCGCGCGGCTTCGCGAGGCCGAGGCTTCGATCCAACCACTCTTGCTCGCTCTCCTCCTCCTCCTCCTCCTCCTCCTCCTCCCGTCCTCCCCTTCTTCCTCCTGCTGTTGCTGATGCTGATCCTCCTCCTCGTCGTCCTCCTCCTCGTCCGCCTCCTCCACCATCTCCCCTTCCTCCCCCGCCCTCCTCGTCGTCGTCCTCCTCCCCCTTCCCGCCCTCCCCCTCCCTCACCCGCGTCCCAGCCGCCGCCAATCTTTATGAACTGTCCCTCTGTATACTCCCCCGTCTGGAGCTGCGGGGTGCAATGACGACGAGGCTGACGACGACAACGGTTGATGCCAATGGGCGATGCTTTCCGTCCGACCCCAGTTGGCGGTGCGCAAGCGCGAGGGACGAGCGGGGTTCCGCTGCGGGCCCTCGTCGGAGGTTTCAGCGGCCGTGCCTCGGACGCGCGCCAACCGCCGTGACGACGGGTGCGCTACCCCAGCATCGCGTGCCCGACGATGCCACGGCCGATCAGCAGCTTCCGCGCGCTGCCCGACGGCCCCCAAAAAATGAAGCCTGGCCCATCGCACAGCTGCTCGCTCAGCTCTGATTCAGCATGCCAAACATATCCCGGACAAGTGTCTGGCTGTCCGCACTCGCAGAGTCTCCGGCGAGCTTCGGGGCCTTTGCCTTCGCCCCCTCGGCCTGGCCATCAGGCTGCGGCCGCTTCCCCGCTGCCTCGGGCGCCCCGCCCGCGGGCACGATGGCCTTGCAGCACTCCTTGCTGAACCACTTCACCTCCTTGCCATCCACGAGCTCGACCTTCACCTGGCGCGTGTTGGTGAGCAGCACTTTGGCCTTCTTGCCGTTGTAAGTCTCCTTGTATTTCTTCACGGACAAGACAATGATGTCGTCCTTCTGGAACGCGGGGGGCTCCGCCACGGTGCTCGGGTCGGGCGGGGCAGCGTCCGCGGCCTCGGCCGCCCCCGCGGCCTCGGCCGCTCCCTCGGGAGGGGCGCCCTTGGGAGGTGCCTACGGGGCGCTCTCCAGCGCTGGGGAGGCGGCCTCGCCCCCGCCCGAGCCGACTGCCGCGGGGGGGGCGACCGCGGCGGCAACCAGGCCGCAGGCGGACTGCGGCTCTGGCGATCGCTTCATCTGCGCCACGATCACCTTGCCCACGGCCTGCAGAGCGGTTATCTCATCCTCCGCGGGCGCACCCATTTCGGGGAGCGCGACGCCAGCCGCCACCGCCACGTGGGTCTTCGCCGACACGATCTCGTCGCACACGGCATCACCAAGAGGCCGCGCGCGAGAGGTGGCGGACTTCGTCGACGCTTCGATCGCCCGCTGGGCAGCCAGCCAAGATTTCACAACGGGGTGCGACACGGCGTCCTCTGGCATCCAACGAGTACACCGCATCCAACGCGCCCTCTGGCTCTTGGAGGAAGTCCTCTATCGCTGACGAATAGGAAACAGGGTTGTACTTCCTGCACAACTTCCACAATCTCGAGGGGTACCCGTTGAAGGAGGAGAACCTGATGTGGATATGCGTCTGGGTGGTCAGCAACGCCTTCACCGCGTCTGCCACGTCGAGCTCTGGGTCCGAACCCAGAAGGGGAAGCATCTCTGCGAGGTCCTGCGTCGTCTTGGCCTGTACTTCCCCGTCTCCCAGCCGCGCCACCAGCGGCGGGCGGCCTTCCAGGTCGGCCGATTGCGCAGTAAGACACGTCGCATAGAGGGCAACGCGCAAGCATAAGGCAACCTTGTGCAGGTGCTTCTGGCAGTCAGGGTCGGCGAGGAGCTCGCGGAGAAACTTCAAGCGTTCCTGCGAGTCCTGCCTGGGTACCACGCAACCTGTGCTGAGGACGCCAACTGGCACATTAAGCATCGAGAACCGTAGGAAACCGAACTCTGCATCCGCGAAGAGAAAAAAGAACCGCGTTACCACGGGGTTGTCTTCCACTTTGAAGCAGTACTTCTGGATCAAGGCGTACGCTTCCGACTGCAAAGCCTTCATATCTGAAGTGTGCGGGCCTACATGCTCGAGCGACCCCAACCGCCCATTGAAGAAGTCCAGCAACTTATCTGGCAAGGCCCTCTTCCCGTACAGCTGCTGCAACAATCTGGCCTGGGCCCGACCGCGAAGAGCGTCGTGGTGCTCGGGGAAGGGGACCAGGCGAAAGTTGTCAACGACGTACCTGCGGAGATGGAAGGCAAACTCCTCCTGGTAGTCAGCCAGCAGATATTTGTAGAACTTGCTACACGTATCGCACAAGCGATCTCTCCCCACGGGTCGGGAGACAACTCTGCCGCAGATGGCTGTCATCACCACCAGGTTGGCAACGTGGGAGGCGCATCTCCACACGACCAAAGAATAACGCATGGGCAAGCCTGATTCTTTCATGAACCGCCACACCCGACGCACAGCGCTCGCATTCGTGCTGATCCCGTCGCCCATCACAACATGGATCAGACGTAGGCGACCGCCGTGCGGATTCCGAACGCCCGGCCACAGCGCAGAGACGACATCGCTCAACACACAGATCAGGCTCGTGGCATTCGTCTTGGCGCTCTTGCGCGCCAATGGCTTCAACTCGACAAAGTGCTCCAACGCTGAATCCTGGAAGTGGACGCTGACCACGTCATTCTGGACTTTGGAGGAGCGAGCGCGTACGACAGGAGCGTGCAAATTGTACCGCTCGTCTTCGTCCTTCATGAAAGAGTTCATCCTCATGCACGCTTCGTCGTGTATATGGCGAATGAACACTGGGTGCGTTTCTCTCGCGTGCCAGCCCGCTGGCATGCTGGCCATCGCGAGTTCTATCCTGCGGCGGTTCAACTTCTTTATTATCTCCGCAATCGCATCGCGGACACGAGAGATGCTGAATGTCGAGATGTTCTTTGTTTCCTGCGCCGGAAAATCCCGGAAGAATGACTCTAGCGTTCGGGCTGGCACCGTCGGGTCTGCCATAGCAGCCCGCACGTACCAAATGCTCTGGATGCGATTGCCCATCTTGTCCGCTCTCTCCTTCCGCAGAGCTGTCTCCGCCACCTTGCGCATCCGTTTCTGGTGTTTCACTGACCGCGCCAACGTACTCAGGCGTTTCGCGGGCAAACGCTTCCTGCCCGCTGCGCGCGGCCGGTCGAACCTTTTGCGGAAAGCATCCTGGGCGCACTCGATGGCGGCCATTGTCTCCTCATGACCTGCCCCCGCCCGCTCCGCCAGAATACGGCCCCGCAACTTGCGGAGCGCCCTCTCTGCCTCAACCACAGCCTCTTTCAAATCAGTCATGGGCGCGGCGCCGCCGCCGTTACGACGCCCGTTCCGGGCCGCCGTGCCGACCAGCCCTGTCGCTTCAACGAGCGGGCAGGCTCGAACCAAGCGGAGCGATTTGAGCCAAAATGTCTTCCTGCTCCTGCTCCTGTTGCGCCTCCTCCAACTCCTCGATCATCCGCCCACCCCCTTCCGCCATCATCCTCCGTCTTCCTGCTCAATCTCCCTACGCCCCCCTCCTCCTCTTAATCCCTCTCCACCGTTTCGTCCAACCAGTCCCTGCTCCCGATCCGTTTCCTCTTCATCCTCTTCCTCCTCCTTCTCCTCCTCCTCCTCCCTTCCCCTCCTCCCGCGTCCTCCCCCCCTCCTCCCTGCTCGTCCTCCCCCTCCCTCCCCTTGTGCCGTTCTGGCACCTGGGACACTTCGAAGCCCGCAAGGGCCTGTTTGGTCAACACGGGAGGCCACGAGCTCCATTGTTTTTTCCTACCAGCCCCACAAAAAGAACATACACATCGTAGATGAATCGCCGAAGCGCGCCGCTCCATCACGACAACCTGGACTGACGCGGGGGAGGGCCGAGGAGAGGAAAGGGGGAGGCATGGGGGCGGACAAAGACGCAGAGCTGATAACCTCACCGGCCTAATCAGCTCAAAGAATCGTCAGCGACAACGGCAGCAAGGAGGGCGGGAGAGAGGGAGAGAGACACAGAGAAACAAACAAAAGAGGTATACATCGCCCAAGCTGCCACGCCACGCGCGACACCGCATCGCGCACCTCGACGACACGGCGCAGGACAGCACCTAGGCACTTCACGGCGACACAGAGACTCAGCACCACGACGACGCAAAATTCAACCGCGGCACACCACCTTGGGAGAAAAAGCGGGAAGTCATTCCTCAAGCCCCCAGGAGTGGAAAGCCGTAGACATGTGGAAACGAATGGAAAAGAAAACTATTTCGGGACAGCAGAGGCTCCCCAGACATCCCACATAAGCACACAAACTTTCGAAACCCCGCCCGGATCTCTTGGATCGGCGCTGGGATCCCTCTCTGGAGGCACCGCCAGGGGGGGCCCAGCGCCGACCCAAGAAATCCGAGCGGACCTCCAAAAGCTTCTGATTATGCGGTTTCTTCTACCAGCGCTGCGACTGGCTTGACGCCACGCAGCAGGGCATCCCTGCCCACGAACGACAGGACGTGTCCGCGTCGTGCCTGGACCGCTTGGATTGCAGCGTCAAAGGGCGCAACCAACCTGCTCGGTCAAGCTGAAATTGATGCACTACACCCGGCGTCAAGCCAAAACTTTGGACGCAAGCGAATAATTGGACTCTGCACATCTTCGTCGGCTTCACCAGCGAGGCGCTTGACCACCTCGACGTCCCGTGTTGGTGGTCTCGCAGAGGAAGGCGCTCTCTGCCCCTCGGCCCCACTCAGTGGAGGATGGGTGGGCGAATCGCTGCGGCGAGGCGCGCGTGCCCACGCCCGAAGGTGGCAGGACGCGCGAGAGGCCATGCCCGTCCCCTCTCAGATGCCCTGCAGGACTCCGACTCTCGCACGAAGATCTTCACGACGACTGCAAGCCAGAAACTGGAAGTCGGGGAATGCCGAGGGGGTGCCGGAAGCTGGAGACGAGGGATGGGAGGGCAAGGAGGAGGAGGAGGCTCAGTTCAGTTCCCGAGCCTTTCAAGACCGTCTGTCACCGATTATTTAGTTCCGTCTCAGACTGGGGCCGACCTGGCATTGCTGTATCCTTGCCGTCGCTTCACCTTTTGGCGACATGCTGCCACGAGCAAAAAACGAGGAAGAGGACGTACGCTGAGGAAGGCAAGGCGGAGGAGGGTACACGAAGGGGGGAGGAGGCACAGGGCTGCGGGAGGACTACTCCTACACCCCTAGGAACAAAGAAGCAGGGAGGAGGGAGGAGGAGGGAGGAGGCGGACAAGGAGGGAGGAGGGAGATGGGAGGCGGAGGGCTGACGGTGACGCTCACGACGAGGGAGGAAGCAAGCGTTAGCGAGGAGGAAGAGGACGGAGAGGAGTACGGAGGATGGGGTTGTGTAGGGATGTGAGCTTGTTTCTCCTTTCCACCTCCCCCCCGCCGCTGCCTCCCTTCTCCTCCCGTGGAATCGCTGCACAGTAGAAGCACTGCATGGCACAGCCGCTGCATGAGACAAATCCGCCTACCCGAGGGGCCAGAGGCATGACAGAATCGCCAGTGAGAGGCTCGGACAGGTTGTATTTACCGTTCGCGCGCGCGCGTGGCCGCCCCTGCCAGACATGCGACGAATTGATCTCTGTCCAACACGCAGTCCCCAGAAGCCCAGGGCAAGTCTTTCACCCCGAGCCGTCTTTGGACGGTCCCAGGGCCAGGCAAGGGCCCCCGGAGGCCGAGAGCAAGCCAAAAAACGCCTGTCGTGCTTTCTCACGACACGGGCATGTCTGCGCGGGGATCCCCCGAGGAAAGCTGTCCTGGCCTGGTCTCGCAGGGTCGGGCCAGAGGTGGTCTCCGCCCCGGGCGCG